GTTGGGGGGGTGGGGGGGGGGGGGGGGGGGGGGGGGGGAGTGAATTTGGGGGGGTCTTGAGACCCTCCCCCTCATTAGCAGCTGAGCTAATGAGCCCCCCATGGAGCAGAGCTTTGGGGGGGCTTTGGGGGGCAGCGTGAGACCCCCCGGGGGTCTCTCTCCCTGGGGCAGCCGGGGGGGGGGGGGGGGAGCGGGAGGGCGAGAACGGGGAGGGGGCGCGCGGGGTCTGGGGGGGCACGCGAGCGTGCAAGGGCTGAGCGTGTGCGGTTTGGGGGGGGAGCGGGAGGGCGAGAACGGGGAGGGGGCGCGCGGGGTCTGGGGGGGCACGCGAGCGTGCAAGGGCTGAGCGTGTGCGGTTTGGGGGCGTGCACGAGTGTGGAAGGGGTGTGTGCGTGGAATTTTGGGGTGCACGCGGGCGTGGAAGGGGTCTAAGTGCGGTTTGGGGGTGCACAGGTGTGCAAAGGGGGATGTGTGTGCGGTTTTTGGGGTGCAAAACCAGCGTGAGAGGGAGCTGTGCCCAGCTTTGGGGTGCACACGAGCGTTCAAGGGGGTGTGTGTGTGGGTTTTGGGGTGCACACGAGCGTGGAAGGGCTGGGTGAGGTTTTGGGGTGCACACGAGCATGCAAGGGCTGTGTCTGTGCAGTTTTGGGGTGCACACGAGCGTGCAAGGGGTGTGTGTGCTGTTTTTGGGGTGCAAAACCAGTGTGTGAGGGAGCTGCGCCCAGTTTTGGGGTGCACACGAGCGTGGAAGGGGGTTTTGTGCAATTTTGGGGTGCACACGAGCGTGGAAGGGGGTTTTGTGCAATTTTGGGGTGCACACGAGCGTGCAGGGTGTGTGTGTGCAATTTTGGGGTGCACACGAACGTGCAGGAGGTGTGTGTGCAATTTTGGGGTGCACGCGAGCGTGCAGGAGGTGTGTGTGCAATTTTGGGGTGCACACGAGCCCGGCCGTGTTTTGGGGTGCGCGTGTGCAAGCCCGGGGCGCACACGCGTGTGCAAGGGGGGGCTCAGGCCAGGCTGGTGGTTTTTGGGGGGGGGTCCCGAGCGCGTGCAGGTGCGCAGGGGGTGAGCGTGCAAGGGGTGCACACCTGGGGGGGGCGTGGCCGGGGGGGTGCGTGTGCAAGGCGGGTGCACGTGGAGAGGGGCGCTCGCGCGCACAGGTGTGCAAGGCGGGGCCGCTCTCACACCTGGGGGAGGGGGCACGCTCGTGTGCAAGGGCGTGTCTGCCCCCCCCCACCCACCGGGGCCGTCTCCTCCCCGTGACCTTCAGGGGGACACGGGGGGGACACGGGTGGCCCCTGCCCCTCCCCCACCCAGAGCCCCCCCCTAAAGCGCCCCCGGGGGGGCTCAGAGGGATGGGGGGGGGGGATCACGCTATAGACCCCCCCCATAGACCCCTCTGACCCCCCCGGGGGGGCCCCCGGGTCTGGGGGCTC